TCAAGCACAGTGATCATAGATAGTAAACATAAGCAAACACAGGACATTTGAACACTACATAATCCAGCAGACAATACCCTCCACCTCAACTGACAAATCAGAACTCCTTCAAATTGAACTCCAATTGGAAAAGCACGGAATGACAAGAACAACATGTGTATTCTATATGGGGATTTCAATGCCTGTCATCAAGAGTAAATCTGTAGTCCCACTACTGACTGGCCTGCAGCAATTGGTGAGGCAAGCTACAAGACGGATAAACCTACTTTACCTCAATCTCATCAACCTGTCGCAGAAGCATCTGTCCTGGACAGTATTGCTAAGAGTGACTACCACATCATCCTTTTAGAGACAAAGTCCCACTTGCACTAGGGATGTCCACCATCATCTATTGCTAACCATGCTAAATTTCAAACAGTTACAGAAATTCAAGACTGGGAATCCATGCCGCTGTGGGTAATCAGCAGCAGCAAAATTGTTTTCATCATCTATAACCCCATGACCCAGCATATCCGCATTTTACTTTACCATTAAACTGGGGTGGGGTGGAAATCAACCCTGGCTCAAAAGAATAGTGTAGGAGGCACGTCATGAACAGCATATGGCAGACTTAAAAATGATTAACCTCTACAACACAGGACTAATTACATGTCAAATAATAGAAGCAGCAAAGAAAGCGCTACGTGATCCCTCGACCAACAGACCAGATTTAAACTCTGGAGGCCTGCCACATCTAGTTACAAACGAAGGCAGATGATTAGACAAAGTACAGGAAGAGGAAGCCCCACTGTTATCCCAACTTTTATGTGCAAAAATACAAGGTTGAAGCATTTGCAACCATCAGCCAGAATTATTTTCTCCCTTCCCCAGCATCACAGATGTCAGTCTTTAGCCAATTGCATTAATTCTATTTGATATCACAAAACTGTTGGAGGCATTGGATACTCCAAGGGCTTTGGGCCCTGATAACATTTATAGGCACATGAGTAGGCCATTGAGCCCTTTGAGCCTATTGCACCATTCAGTGGGATCATTGCTGACCTGTGGCCTAACTCCACATACAGGCATTCCCCACGTTGCGAACAAGTTATATTCTGGAATCCATTCCCGCTTGCAAGTTGGAGCACAATTCAGGACAATGAAGAGCAGCTGTTTGTAGGAAACATTCATACATCGGGTCTTTAAATTCTAAAACAACTCAAAAGTTATCACAAGAGAATTTGAGTACAGAGGTAAAGAATTACTGCTACAACTGTATAGAAAACTGGTGAGACTACACCTAATGTACAGAAAATAGAACAGTAGGGCACAGGAACTGGCCCTTTGGCTCACCATGTCTGTGCCGACCATGTTATTTTAATCTCATTTGCCTGCATGTGGTCCACATACCTGTATTTCCTGCTTATTCATTTGTCAGGGGGGTTTAAACATCTCAAAAACTTTTCTATTATATGTTTCGACCAATTTGCCTGGCAGCCCATTTCAGGTATCTACTATGTTCTATGTAAAAAACAAAAACTTTCCTTGCACATTTTTTTTTCCAAACTATCTCCTCTACGCCCCCTTGTATTTGCCATTTCCACCCCAGGAAAGAGACTGACTATCCTCCCCTCAATTTTATATTCTTCTATTAGGTTGCCCCTCAGCCTCTGACATTCTAGCGAAAACAATCCAAGTTTGTCCAAACTTTCCTTACAGCTAATACATTGTAATCCAGGCAACATCCTGGTAAACCTCTTCTGCACCCTGTACAAGGCCTCAACACACCCTTCCTATAATGCAGCGACCAGAACTGCTCACAGTACTCCAAACGTAACCTGACCAAAGTCTTCTATCGTTGCAGCATGAGTCACCAGCTTTTATACTCACTCAATGCCCTACTGAAGAAGGCAAGCATGCTGTATGCTTTAAGTACCTGATCAACCGGTGTTGCCACTTGGACCTTGACCTTAACATGTCTCTTCCATATTGTGCAATTTTGGTCCCTGGGCTAAGGAAGGATATATTAGCCATAGAGGGCAAATTCTCTGGAATTTAGAAGAACAAGAGATGCTGCCAGAGAAACAGAAAATTCTTCAAAGGATAGACAGAAGATGCAAAAAGTTTGTTTCCTCTGGCCCTAGGCTTTAGAACCGGGGGACAGCTTCAAAATATTTTTAAAAATCCATACAGTTAAGACTGAGGTGAGGAGGAACTTGTTCATCACAGGTGGTGAATCTTTGGAATTTTCTTCCTGAGGGCTATGCAAGCTCAATCATTAAGAAAGACTAAGACAGAGATTTATAGCTTTTTGATTAATAACATCAAGGGATATGGGGATAGTGGGGGATTATGGTGTGGAGGTAGATGATCAACAATGATCTTAAGTGGCTGAACAGACTAGAGGGATTGAATGGCTTAATCCTACTCCTATGTCACTGAAAATGCAGATAAATTTATGTTTTATCTTTCCTGTCACACTCAGGTAATCATTACCCAAACTGCTGCTCTTTCTATTGCTCAGTTGACTTTCCTTAATATATCTTCCTTTAACTGAACCCTTTACCCCACCAATTAATTGAAAGACATCCCCACCACCCTTTATTCGCCAGAAAACTGGTCTAAGTTCAGTTGCACATCATTCCAACATTGCAGCTCCCACTATTCTGTGTCAGAGGAATCAAACCATACTAACCCTGGAGTCCTGCATTAACTTCTCTAATTTCAGAGAAGTAACATCAAAATCAACTGGTACATATTTAATAGAAGGTTTGTGCCCAGTCACTGTACCCTGGAACTTTATTAAATAATTAGTGGGATTAGAGAAGAATCTGTCAGATTTTCTTTTCCCCAGTTAATTTTTCACACAGGAAGGTAGTGTGGTTGGTGAATGGTATTTGCAAATAACTCAGTGATAATACAGGCTCAATGTATGAACTGCTCTTCATCTGTTTTTCAGTAACCAAGACTACTTTTGAGTTGTGCTATGTGTTTATTGCATTTTGGCAAATTAAGAGAAAATCAAACACATTTTGCAGTTATCTGTGGTATATACATGAATGCCTATATTCTGCTATGCCAGTCAGTAGATTGGACCAGTCATACAACTTTTGTAGTAGCACGCTGAAGACGTGACATAATCAAATAATTAATGGTCTCGTGATTATGACAGATCATTGGACCAAAGGAAAGATCAATTTTCAGTATTCCAAGAAAATGCCATTTTTTGATGAATAGTCGTGTCTGAAATAATAAATTATCAAAAACTATTCAAATATTAAACAAGATTATGTAGAAAAAAGTATACCCATCACTCCTGATGAAACTCGGCCGGAAAGTAACCAGAAAACATTAATTCTTTCTCTCCATGGATGCTGCCAATCCCAAATATTTTCAGCATTGTCTTTATCCTGTATGTTGTTTTTTTTAAAAAAAAGTCAACCTTTAAATCAAATTATAATATACTATTGGCAAATGTACCTCTCTAATCAATAAATCTACAGGGGTACACTTCATCGTAATTAAAGTCCACAGTTGGAACTTCACCTACCCTAAAAATACATGGAACCGACTAACTGGAATTAAAAAATATTTTTCAAATATCTTCTGGCATGTTGCAATGTTTTGAGTTTTGCCCAGGGCTGCAGAAAACGAGCAATCTCTATTTTATACTGCAATTACACAGAATAGAAAAAAAAAAACTTATACATTTTGGTTGACTGCAAGAGAAGAACTGTAATTTTAAAATGCCAAAAGCTGCAAGGTCTGTCAAAACAGTAACTTTATTTGAGAATTATAGCCAATACAGAGGTAAATTTATACTTCAATTATTCAAATCATGAAAAAAAACATTTTAAAAAGTCCTTAAGTGTGGTACAGTATATCTCTACAGTTACTAATTAGGATTGTCTTCAATGATTATCATACCCATGACATTGTACCTTGATACATAGCATGATTGCATAGCACAATACTAGTCTGGCTATTTAGGGAGCATGTTACCGATCAAGGGATGTGTAAATAATTTGGCCTTTCGCATATCTGAGAAAGGGAAAACAAAAGTGGGTAAATGCTCTTTCTTGTTTGGGAAGGGAGCGAGAGGAGGAAGATTGGAACAATACAAATGGGTTGAAATCAAAATTGCGAACCACAGGAACAATCTAACTAACAATTAAACCAATAATAAACTCTACATGCATTTAATGGTTTAATATTTTTCATCATCATACAAATGTGGTTGCTTGTGGAAAATGATTTAAAATAGTTTATTGCAGTTCTTCCCTGAAGAAGAGCTAGTAATTCCATTCATTTTTAAGAACTCTGGGCCTTAAAATTCAATATTAGCCAATCTGCACATCACTCAAAAAGCTATTTTTGATTACTTTGCGTATTAAAGCACAGTTACTGTCAGTCCACTACCGGAGTGTCAAAGAAGCTTGAATTTGACCTAGTCCTGCATAGCATTTCAATTTTCCAAACCCATTACAGAATGGAGACTAAACTTTATTTAACCTTATGAAAAAAAAACAATCTTCAATTCACTATAACTCATTTGTATATGTATATTAAAAGCTTACATTTTATTTTTAAAAGTTGAGCAAATCAAAGGAATTTTGGAAGCCATTCAAATATACTTTGACCATGTGTTGGAATGTTTTTAAATACTATCCATTGCCTTGAATTCACTGAGAGCCTGCACTGGTGAGACATGCTTTTTCTGAGATGCTCTTTTAACTTTGTGAATATCATCATTTTTCTCCCTCTTTACCAAGGGTTTCTTTTCTGGAGCCCTCATCTTCCATGAGACAGCAGGCATGTTCAAAGATGCCATGCCCAGAGATTTCTGATACTTTGTGGATGCCACGTAGGAGGCCTTCACGGTTTGCACAACAGCATTCATCAAGTTCTTTGCAGCTTGGATCAAAGACATTGCACTATCCACCTGGAAAGGAATCAAAGACAAGCTTTTGAGGATAAGTAGGATGTACTATTTTTTTCTGTGAACCTGTAGTTATTACAAGACCAGTGTAAATTTTTGGTCAATAAAGTCAGGAGCAAGAAGTATTATTGAATAACGCTGATGAAGTACGCTATCAAATATCCCAGTCAGATGTCATAAATGGTACTGAGAGACAATGCAGTGTTTCACCTGGGAGGTAGTTTACAATGTTAAGGCATATTCCTAATCAAAGAAAAAACAACTTATGATGTTTCTCTTTTGTTCGTAAGCCCAATTGGAGTATCCAACTGTTCACTTTCAGAGTAGCACTGGGATGCAGTAGATTACTTACCTTTCTGCAAACTACAAATGATGGGTGGTACTAAGAAGAATACATTCTAAAATACCTTAAAAACTATCCTGAAACAAAAGAAATGCATAAACTATAGAGGTATCATGCTAAGTGGATAATAGAATCAAAAATGTTTCCAGATAATGGCATTACCTGTATGATATAGCAACATCCTAGGTAAGTACATTTTAAGTCAATAACAAACAACTCTTTTATGTCAAACAGGTTGGAGGTAGAGAGATGTGTACATATCAAAAACTGTGTGTGGAGCATTCAAATCACATATGCCCAACTTTTTCAACTTTTGCATTACAGTGGGAATTTGAAATATCTAATTGTGGAATAGAATAGATTATTTCATCTTATGCAGCTGATTATACGAGCTATAATTTCTTCTGAAGAAACATGCTCATCTTAAGTAATATATCGAAATTGTGTGTTAAAAATGTCAAAGCCATTTTTCAGACAAAGTTAAATATAAATCAAAGAACATGGTGTTCAATAAACATAACATTTACTTGCATAGCACCAGTAACATAAAACGTTTCAAGGAATCTAACAAGACCGTTCAAAAACAAATTATGACACTAAGATAGTGATGAGATATTAGGTCAGATAACCCAAAAGCTTGGCCAATGTGGTAAGTTTTAGGAAGCAAGAGGAGCGAGCAGAGGTATTCTATGATACTGATCACATATTAATTGTGCACAACAGTTATTTTACAGTGCATTTAAGATTCATTGATAGTTGATTCTTGCCCATCAATTTTTCCCCCAATATCTCGGTGTCGCCTGACAGCAATCCAGTTAAGTGGCCAATCTTCATATTAGCCAAGCAGTCAGGAGACTATTTAACCACTAAGGTACTTCACCTTTTCTCCACTTTCCAAAAGGTTCTGGATAGATGAGTATTCCCACACTTCCCTCATCCCCAGTCCTGGTACGGAGAATGACGAGAAAATTATAACACCTAATATATAGATCATCCAATTCTCTTGACGGGTACAGCATCAAATAATGTTGTTTTAAAACTATATTTCATGGACAAAATCATACATTTCCAACACTTCATTCTTTAGTACGAACTAGGCTCAACTTACTAATTTTAAGTAAACAGCTATATAGACTTGACATGATTCAATAATAATGTGCATTAAAGGAGGACTAAGCTTTTTGTTTAGTAAGAACCTAACTATGGTATATGAAAGGGCACTGTAACTTAGCTTCATCAATCTAATATTAATACATCCAACAATAAAAGAGACCATTTTGTTTGTCATTTAAAGGTCATATATTGAATTCTGTAAATATCCTCTTCCAAATCATTCAGTACTTTCCTTCAACATTTCATTGCAGTCTTTTGATTTGCCTACCAACTAAGTGAGCCAGATGTCATTTTTAAACGAAACATATAAAGATACAAGAGCTTTAAATTCTCGTAGCGCCCACCGCCTCCCCCCACCCCAACTCCAATTATTACATTAGCAGAACTCACCCAAAAAATGCAAAAACCTGGTAGTGCCAAGTCTCGACATTTCTGGAGATTTCTGACTAGCTACAAAGAAAACATCACAATTTTCTAAGGCTTAAAATTTCCAAGACAGAGTTTGGTGCTTCTTTGGGTAAGTCAGCACCCAGTACTGGGACTGTATGGTAGAATACTATGATAACGTCATCCTCAAAATAGGCAGTAGTTTGCTTCACAATCAGATTCTGCCCATTTTCCTGTCCTGGACTGCTAAAGGTTAAACAAAAAGGAGCAAAAGAAAGACGAGAGAGACCATGGTTCATTATACCACAGGCATAAGATTTCGTCATGGCCTGCAATAAGTGATCATTACTTATACATTCTCTAACACGCAAATGAGATATTCTCCTATTGGTTCACCATCAATCGAGTATTGTACTGCAGCAGTTGAAATCATAATGTTATCATATCAGGATAATTTATGCTTGATTTTTTGAGGTCACAAAATTGAATTAATTTGAGGAATGGCTAACAAGAGACATGAATGCACTCATTTGTCTACTTACTCCAGATACAATGAGCTCACCACCCAGGTTTTGGACTTCTGCCTTTACTTTGCTGCAGATGTTCAGCTGATGACAATACAAGGCAATACGCTGCAGATAGGCCAATAAGTCTTGCTTACAGCTGGAGTCTGGACACTACATAAATAAGAGAAAAAAAAGTTAAACTCCCAAAATTCCAACAAACATTTTTAGTCATTTTAATTTTGAGTGTAAAATGTTATGGTGCAATCAAAGTCAGCTCAAAGCAAAACTGACTTCAGGCAACAGTACGGTCGTATGTAACTACAGTTTTCCTGAGGCTTTAAGCATGTTGGTGGAAACTCTAAATTACTTGCGTGTCTGGAAAGTAGTCATGGGTGGAAGCTCGATCATGACATTAAACTTGGTTGCGCTGCTTTCACAGATGCTCCTTCTCCACTTTTTGGCTATGCCTGATATAAATCATCCCAGCTCACATACGAATAGTCAGTTGGTTGAGCTTTGTTACACAAGATCACAAAAATTACAAGGTTTTAAAATAATCAGTAACTACCCAACTTCCCTTCTATTATCCTAATAGTTTCACAAGACAGTTATAATGGAATTGTTGACTATTGAGAATAATTAAACCCTTTTCCAGATTTAGATAATCAGAAAAACCCCAATGGTTGAGAACTTCAGCAGACCCTGGTCCAAACCTACCACGTTCATCCCAGATATGTGACATTATGTCACATCTCAACTTAGCTGTTATTTTCCAAAAGAAATCTTCCTAATATGCATTTTATCGACAAACAACTATCACCAAGAGTCTGTTCAACTGATAAGATACTCACTCTAATATTATTTGCAGATATTTTTGAATTTACCCTCCAAACTCGAGGAGTGCCCTGCAGTTCTACTCTCTCCATTCTGCACTGTCCGTTACCCTGATGCACTTGTATAGTTCGATCTGCCTTTAAAGCATGTAAGGCAACACTTTTCACTCTACTTTGGTACATGTGAAAGTGATAAATCAAATCAAAAGTGAAACTGCATTTCATGGTTTAAGTTATCTAGCCCTTTTAGAATCCTCATGAACAGCCATAACAACCTTCCATTTTTTTTCCAGTGAGAGCACGCCCTACATACTTAGCAGCCCCTCACTTGTAAAAATAGATTTTCAAGCTTCAATATCGTAACTGCCCTGCTACGACATGATATAATCTTGAGGGAATTTATTAGTTTATGTTATTTGAGATTTGCATTGAACAATTCTGAAATGGTCCTCTCATCTTTTGCTTCAAGCAGAGGGCAAAAGTCAGACTCAATGCCTCCTCTCAAGTAAGTGCTCCTAAGACCATTATATGATATCATACTTTTTTTTCTTTATTCATTAATGGGATGAGAGCGTCACTGGCTAGTTGGCATTTATTGCCCATCACTAATTTTCCAGAGGGCAAACACATTGCTGAGAGTCTGGAGTCACGTAGGCCAGGTAAGGATGGCAGTTTCCTTCCCTAAAGGCTATTAGTGAATCACATGGGTTTTTCCGACAATCGACAATGGATTCATGGTTATCATTAGATTCTTAACTCCAGATATTTTATTGAATTCAAATTCCACCATCTGCCAAGGCTGGATTCAAACCCGGGACCCCAAAATGTTATCTGCATCTCTGGATTAACAGTCCAGCGATAATACATAATATCTAGTGTATGATTTTAATTCATCTATAAGTTAATGCTAAATAGATCTGGCTACTTCAGTAATATCCTGTCACACAAAAGTATACTAATGCTACAATCTTAAGGGTGAACTGTTGAGTTTTGTTTTTAGTGGGTAGTACACAAGAATGAAAAAGAGGGAAATGTACACAGGACGGACAAGAGACGTCTGTAATGCTGAAAATGTTTAGGCACTGAACCATCAGATACCCAACACATTTAAATCTTACTGTCACATGGCAACAAAACATAAAATAAAAATACGTGCTATACTGCCTATAATTCCAACCTGCAAACCAAAAGATATACAAACCCTGAGCTTCCCTGAAATTTATCGACCAGACCAAAGCCCCTCCAAATATATTGCAAAAATAGCCTAGATCTTAACTTTTTCTTATTTTAAAGGCAAACGTTGCACTCCAGATGTAATTTGACTGATCAAACTACCAGATTTGAAGCAAAACACACTTTATACGTACACTATAGTTAAAATATAACAAAAAGAAAGAAGTTGGAATAACTTAACTCTATTGGAAAACTTAACAGAATAATAGATTATGTTACTACTAAACTATTCCAATATAACAAAATTGTACAAACACACCCTTGGCAAAAGGCAAGTTCAGAAAAATAGTTTTGTCTATCAGGCAATTCTCCAGTGCAGGAGGGAACAACATCAAGAGAAAACTCAATGCGACAGAGTAACAGGGAGAGAGGCTTACAAACCCTGCTTCAAGACCCAATCTGAAAACTAAAAAAAAAAATCCTGGTTCTGTGGGGACTTGACCCCATCCATTCAGGCTGCTTATGTTGTTCCAACTTTTTAAAAAAGGCCTCACACGCTGTTTATTCTAGAGGTTCTGAGTAGACTCCTCGGCCTTAAAACCTCTCTTCAAAAAAAAGGACAAAGTGTACCTCTTAAAGCCATAGTATCGTCACATGAGACAAGAAACCTTTAAACAAATGCTTGTCTTATAAGTTGCTACAAGAAGTACTTTAATCTATATTTCATGAACAGCTTCAATTACTTACATCCATAAAAATTAAACCGACAAAAGCAACACTTGCTCTCTGATGTATACAAAAAAATATAGAACTGTTATTATGGCAATGGATATCTACCAAACTTCTTGAATTGTGGAATTGCCTTTAAATGAGAACAGATCTGACAGTGAGCCTGATTCCCTAGTTAACGATTAGACAGCAATAGTACACAGTTATCTGCATCATCCAAATAAATGCAATGAAAAAATAACTACTCCAAATGGAATAAGAATAGTTTATGAAGTATTCTAATAAAAAAAACACACTGCAGCTTGCTGATCAAACCATGTCTCAACTTAAAGACATATTTATCAATGGGAACACGCACATTAAATCTACACAATGTTGGAGTTTGAAAAATGTGAAATACATTTAGAAATTCTCATGTTACAAATCATAGGATTAAATTAAAAACTGGCCCCTCAATGAGATTACACATTTGGTGACTGCCGATACTTGGCTCAGTCATTTATGGGCAGAGGACTGACCAATCATATTTTTCACATCGATTGATTGATTGATTTGTCACCGTATGTACCAAAATACAGTCAAAAGCTGTTTACGACCAGTACAGGCAGATCATAGAAAGCAAGGATGTACAGATCAAAAGCTATGAATACTTAAACCCTTTGTTTTGTTCATACATTTAGAAGAATGTATTCCAAACTAATAATCAAGGGAAACCAAAATAAACAACACTGAAGTGTCAGTTGATGCTTTCTGGCATTTTAGTTTCCATTTCTGAATGTTAAATTCATTGCTAAAAAGCTCTTTTGCACAGAACACAAAGCAGTGGTGGTCAGTGTTTCATGACTAATAAAATTGAATTAATTACAGTTTTTTTGCACAGGTTAGGTGGTTAAACATGCAATATTTCAATTTACGTCATCAGATGCAAGAAAGTTCTTGTGATGAATAAATCAAAAATATTAAAAAGTACAGCTTTTCACAATCCTTGTCTTCCCTTTTGATTAAGCTTTTCTTTGCAAATAAAACTAGGTTATATCAGGAATTTGAATGCTTCTTTGGAATAAGACACTTTACAGATGAAGCATTCTCTTGTTTCCTTTGTTTTCCCAAACTATCCAATGCAAAGAACCCCATTTTTGGATCAACGTCTCTATTGATCTTCTGAACACATTCCACAATGAATTATTCATTCATTTGATCATAATTTTTTACTGTCCATTTACATTTTTTCAAATAACTTTGTATTGTGAACACTAATCACGATTTGTTGCTCTGTTAATTGGTTGATATATGGTCCATTTGGCTAATTTAACATGCAGATACCCTTTGCACACAACTCAAAATTGAAAGTTTTGCAAAGAAAAGATTGAGTATATTTCTGATAAAGCAAATTAATGTGTATGATAAACAAAGTGTGGCTAAGTGGGCATGAATATCAAGCAGCTAATGCAAAATTGGTGAAAAAATTCTGTAGTCAACTATCATCATCCCCATGGCATACTAATTTCACATTGTACTTCATAATTCTCTATGAAGTGAAATTGACAAAATTATCAGGGATAAAATTACTTCAAAAGGATCGGCCAAAGAAAAATTCAGATTTTCCAAAAAAGACCACAGTATATGTATTATGTTTAAGATTAATCCTATGAACAAACTAAAATATATTATAAACTTTTGTAAATTGTATTTTGGGTGAAAGCCATGTTACTTTTTATTGGTCTCGTTCTGGAAATGCTACTGAATATTTTTCCACTTTCAGTCAGGCAGAGGTAAAATCACCATTTTCCTTCTGGTCCACAGGGTTGCTCTCTCATTAGATAGAAATTATGGATGGTGGTTTAATCCAAGCGTCACCATGCCTTTGGCGAGGGGAGATTTGGGGAGGAGTCCTACATGGTAACCTCAGCCAGTTTGGGAATTGAATTATGTTGTTGGTATCATTTTGCATCGCAAATCAGTCATCCAGCCAACCGAGGTAACTAACCCCCATTTAGGTAATTTACTTGCCCTGGTCAGTTTTTCAAATTAAAAGCTTCAAGTTAAAAGTAATATAATCAAACTAATTTTAGCACCCAATTATATTAAATGATACTAATGGACTGAGTCATTAATATTTAATGGCCAAAATTCTTATTATACAACAGTATTTATTCTCAGTTAAGGTCTGGAGAATTTACAACTGAAGCATCTGCAGACATTACATGGGAGACATGCAGTGGGGTTCAGTGACCTTGCACTACATGGATTACAGAGTGTTGCTACAATACAGAGCGAAGCAAGCAATGAGCAAATTCAGGATGTCTGCACCTGTTTCCTCTTGTGTGACTTACAAAATTACAGTTCTGTTTTTAATTTTGAACAGTACAAATTACAGCAATTATGTACCAGAATTTGTGATTTATGGCAGTTTTGTGTTTCTTTCCATTTGCTAAC